CTTCTTTGGAAATATATTCCCCTAAGATATGTCAGTACATTTGCTTGAACAAATGTAGTGCCATAACCTTCAGTCATAATGTATTAATCCCTTTCTTATAAAATAACTCCCTGTACTGTTTTGTATAAGAAGAGAAAGGAAAGTAACAAAATTTGGGAAGCTTTATGTATTCCTGTTTTATAATTGGCCTACACTATGATATGAATCCATGATGCTCCAAGTATCATCTGTGGTCATTTTATATTTTTCTAATTAACTTCCCTTTTAAGTTTTTCGTATGTGAAAGCAAATATTTTTTGGCTAGTTCTGCTTTTCTAATCTTTTCATATGTGTCCAAATAAAAAATGAACATTTATGTTTTACCTAAAATTATTTCAGGTACCAAAGTCATCCAGGTACCCCTTCATGGGATACAGTCAGAAAAAGACACTAGGCCTTACCATCACAATATTTACATTCTACTTTGGCAAATCAAGCATCTGTGTATGAAATAATTAAGACAGGCCAGGAGGACTTAAGTTGTTGGTGGGAAGGGAAAGTCACCAAAAATTTTTAGGAGACTAATTTCTAATATTTTAGAGCAATAACATTAAATTTATTTTTTTGCTTTGACATAGTAATTTCACTTCTGTACACTAATTTTATATATTAAAAAAATGGGGCCATCTCAAAGATCAAAATGAGGGAAAGGATCACAATATTTCTATATCCTTAAATACTACAATGTCATTAAAATAAACTTTAAGAAAGACGCTTGAATGGTATGGGAAAATAGTTGCAATGTAATGCCAGGTGTGTAAAATAAGATACAGTATGATCTCAACTATGTAAATAGAATTCATAGAAGTTGGAAATTAAACTTTTTTCTGAGTGGTGAGATAATAGATAACTTTTATTCTTCAATCTCATATTTTTATAGATACCTGAGGATGACATTTTCTCAACTTATAATTATCTGAATATATAAAATATAATAATTTATTAAACAACTATATTTCATAGTTAGGCAATAAATATTTTTAAGGCAAAAATAAACAAGTAATTAATATGGGCTAATTAAAATCATACTGTAGCTGAGGAAGGATTCCATGAGAAAAGTGAGGAATCAAGACTAGGAAACTTTTAAATAATACAAAGGCAACAAAAAATGATTTGGTAATGACCAGTGTGTGGAGTAAGTGCCTATTTTCGGTAAAAATTCCTGATGCTCATACTGTGATTACACTGATGAACAAAAGAAGGGAATGTGGAGATCCACGATGAAAATTTCCCATTGAATATTCATGGTTACGTGAGATCGACATGAATTAATTTGAAACAGAATAAATCACTTTATGAAGATGAAGAAAAGCCTTCTAAGAGAAAGAATTGAAGGACAGAAAGAACCTAGAGATTGAAAAAGAAACAAGCAGATAAATGGTGGGGATCTGCATTACAGGAACACCCCTAAAAGAAGACAAGAGTAGGTAGGGCTCTTTGGTGACATTTGCTTGAGTTTTTGTCAGAGAAGATTCTGACTCATGGAGATGTCAGTGAGTATAGATAGGGACTATGGTTTTGCTATCTGGGTTACCTGGTTACCTGTGGAGAGTAGATTTTAATCTGATCATAAAAGTGAGGTCTAAAAGTCTGAGATAAGGGGCCTCCCTGGTGGCACAGGGGTTAAAGTCTCAGTGCTATCAAGATATTGCCAGCCACTGCAGCATGAGTTCGATCCCATGCTAGGGAGCTAACCCACATGGCTCATCAGACCTCTCCTATCTCATCCCCTGCTCCCCTCAGCAGTGTATTCCAGTAGATCCACCTGTTTTGTTTCCCACTGTGTCTGGTGAATCCTCTCACCCCCACACCTCTGGCCTGTACCCCAGTTCTTGTATGCATAAATAAATAAAAATAAACCTTTAAAAAAATAAAAGTCTGAGATAAGGTCCTGATTTCTTCAGGAATCTAGTAGGTAAAGAGCTGCTATATTACAGCTAAAGTAGATGAAGGGAAAGCAGTTGTAACTATGGTGAGAGGTGGGTCCCAGGAGTAGGTTAGCAATGTGCTGGCAGAGGCAGTTGGGAATCATGATTTGCGAGCGGAACTGAGTCAGAGTTGAGTAACAGGAAAATACCACATGGGTTTGTACACTCTTCTCTTATGCTGTGTACTGTTTCTTCTCTAAACTTCCCTCTCAGTGCAATAAGCTGTTTTTCCTGGTTGGCTTAACTTCAACTGCGCAGAAGGCACTTAGGCAAAAGGACACTGGTGCAGATCACAGTGTCCTTAGAGACACCTCTCTCCTCTCTTAATTTTCTTTGAGAGGAGGCAAATGAAGTCAGGGGTCCTGTTGGGTCTGCTTAAGTTGTTAGCTGTACCTTGTTCTTCACTATCTATCACTCTTTTGTGAGTCCTTATTTCATTCCCAGTCTCTGCATTCTCTCCATTATTTATCTATCCTGAACCCATTTGCCTCCTGCTTCTCTTGCAGAACACTCACATTCTCTTTTCTTTCATCTTCATCTTCTCTTCCCAAATGATCATGTTTCATTCAGGTCCTTTCAACAATGTATGTCCCGCTACCTCTAACCACTCTCTAGCATCTGTTCCGCTTACCTTTTATTTTATGTGATTATTACCTTCTCTGACCTTCTTTATCTGTCATCTGTAATTAATATATTTAAAATGAATTTCTCAATATTTCATTACAATTTTATATCTCCTTAACTTCCCTCATCTCCTATTATATTCATCAATACTTCAGTTATTTTGACATCCCAAAGTAGTATCATATATATATATATATATATATATATATATATATATCTGTGTGTGTGTGTGTATGTGTGTGTGTATATATATATATAACCTACTGTATTACCCACTATAAACTTTTCTTCCTCTCTGTTCAGGCTACATATTCACCCTGCCCTTTTTCCACCCAAGGTGTTTCTGTTTTGATTTCTTGTTTTCCATCTCCATTTCATTCTTTTAACCTTGGACCTTGAGTCTCTTTTATCTACATTTATTCCCTGGGAGATCTTATTCAATCTCATGTCTAGGACTGAACTCCCCAAACCTGCTCCTCCTGTAAACTTTGTATCAGAAAATGTTGACTTCATTCTTCTATACCAAAACTCTTGGGATCATCCTTGTGTATTCTTTCTCTTACACCCCATATTTAAACCTCTAGGAAATCTGATTGTTTTTCTGTTAAAGTATATCCAGAATCTGATCATTCCTTTTTTCTACCTCTCTATAATACCACCCTGTTTCAAACCACCATCATCTCTAACCTGGGTTATCAGCTTCTTGAGCTGTTTCTATTCTGTTTTCACTGTTATGCTCTCTTCAGATAGTTCTTGACACAGCAGACAGACTGATCATGTCACTCATGTACTCAATATCTGTCAATGGTTTTTCATCTCCAACATAGGAACGATGAGGTCCCACAATGGCTATAAGACCCTACATGTTCTGGCTCATTTAAGGCTCTGACCCAACTTCTCCTACAGTCCTTCCTACTTTCCTTCCCAACACTGGCTCCCCCCCACCTCTACAGGCAGGTACCTGCCTGGGGCTCTGAACTTGCTGTCCCCTTTGCTGGAATGCTCCCAATCAGATACCTGCAGAGCTTGCTAGCTCACTTCCTTCAAATTTTTTCTCTTATGCTGAATCTCACTGAGGCCTTCCTTGGGCTGTTTTATATGACATTATAACTTCTCCTACTTTCTACACCCCCCACTCAATCCATTCTCTCCCTCTTTATTTATTCTTCATACCTTTCAGGTTCTAATAGTACACTGTTTACTCATTTATCTTACATATTGACTGTATCCTCCTTTTATGAAGTGGTTCCATGAAGGTAAGAGTTTTACATGAAGGTAAAGGTTTTGTTTGGTTTACTGCTAAATGCTTAATACCTACATGAGTACTAGCCATGGTGAGAAGTTACTAAGAAATGAATAAGTGAATCCTCTTTCACTTCTATGTCTTTTTCGGGCCTCTTATATTTCATGCTAACCTTCCAGTTGTGACTTTAACCCCATTTTTGACCATATTTATTCCCGCTGCTTTTCTGTTGCCCAGTCCTTTATAACTTACACCTAGTTTCCTCTGTCACTTCTTTGGTTTGTTTCTCTTCCCTGAGTAAAAGACATGGTAATGGTTCAGTGGTGCATACTTTTTTTTTTTTTTTTTTAAAGCTTCTCAGTTTCTGCTTTGGCTCAGCAAGGCTCAGCTCTCAAAATCTTTACTCTCATATTTTTCAAATCTCTGTTCTATTATTCACAAACATACATGATATTTGCTGCATATAAGAAAACAGCTTAGGGGCCTCCCTGGTGGCGCACAGAGTTAAGAGGCAACCTATGAAGCTGTCCGTAACCACTGCAACACAAGTTTGATCCCCAGTCCCAGAGCTACCCACATGGCGCAGCAGACCTCTCCTGACTCACCTGCTGCTTTCCTCAGCAGTGTATTTCAGTCAATCTGCCTGTTCTGTTTCCACTCTGTCTCTGGTGTATCCTCTCACCCCTACCTCTGGCCTGTACCCCAGTTCTTATATGCATAAATAAATAAATCTTGGAAAAAAAAGAAAACAGCTTAAGGTGCTGGCCATATATAGTATGACCTATTTTCAAGAGGGAAATAGAAAAAGTGAAGTGTGTCCTGTAGGACAACGGCAGATGACTGGGCCAGAAACACCTATTTTTGGGCTATTTCTTGGACTATAACTTTGATGAGAAGCCTTCAATCCACCACTTCATGCTGCATCTATTAAAATAGAAATGTAGCTTTTAGTGATATTAGATCACTGTTTATGAAGCATGAGTGTTTCATGAGAGAATATGGTTAGCAACCTGTAGGAACATATTTACTCAATTTCTTATTCAAAGTTTCAGCTGAAGATTTCTATTTTTGGTCTTGTGGGTCATATATCTTACTTAGAATGACATAATGTTGGAGTATAAGCCACAAATGAGTGGTGAGTGGAATAACATATAATACGGGTATACCTGGTAATGAACGTCCTCTCATTGATGAAGATCCAAGAAGAGTACTGGTGAGCCATCATAGTTATCTTTTTCTCCTTTTTGAGATCATCTGAGGATACCCTAAAAATTTAGAATAATATTAATTGTATGTTCCTGTGATATAGCCATACACTAGTTTCTGACTTAAACTGAATTTTGTGTTGTGTGCCTAGTGTATAAAAGTATTTGGGGAATGTTTCAAAGTGTTTTACAGATGGGCATGGGAGTTGGGTCAGGAATGGAAGGAAATAGAAGAATTTTTTAACATGTGCCTGCTATGGATCTTCCACTCTGGTGGTGGGCTGGTTTGTAGAGGGTGTCTCATTTAATCCTCAGACCATGCCAGCAGGCAGCTATGGTGTTGTCTCTATTTAAAACACCTTAGTAACTAGAGGAACACATAATTTGAAACAAGGTCTAAATGTCAACAAAACCTTTACTTTGTCATCTTTACCAAATTGTTACTGCAGTTTGAAAAAGGTAAGACAAATTATTTTGACCCTCTCTGAATTGATTTATTCTAAGAGTCGTTTCAAGTATTTTCTCCCCATGCCTGAGGGAATTTATATTGAGGATGACAAGTTCTCCAAAACCTTCAACTGTAAGAAAGTAAGGTTAGAGTTGAGAGTTTGAATTCTAACTCATTTTGAGTCAGTTTCTAAAATGGCATTCTCTAAACCTTTTCAGAATTTCAATAATCACTTAACAATGTATTTTGGGAATAAGTAATAATGTGTTTTTTCTGCCCCCTGCCCAATTCCATATAAATTTAAAGATTTTTAAGATATTTTCCTTTGTTCTGATTACCTATTATGTGCTTATGAGAAAAAATCCATTTCATCTCTTGATATCAATTTCCCATTTTAAATTGAACATTTAGATTCTTCATATAATTTATGGAAAATCAGTAGTAAATAAAGAGAAACACAAAATTTAATATTTGCAATCTTTAAAAACAGGTGATATAGAGAGCATTTGAAGAAATATTAGATGAGCCAGAAATATATAACTTGACATATGGTCCACTCCTTGTCATCAGTTTGAGAGACTGACAAATGTAAGATAGAGAGATAGAGGGGCTAGGCAGACGGGCATGGAGCAGTATTTCTAAGAAAGCATAACACATACCACAATGTTGGTTCAAGATAAATGCTAATGACTTGCAAATGTATAAGTGAAATTCTGATTCAAGTTCGTGCTGATCATCACTTTACAGCTGATGGCTGTGCTAGCTATATTCCTGGTAATGACTATATCTAGTATGTCCAGATTCACCATATCTCCTGTTAAAAGGAACCCTATTTCTGAAGTTTTAGTATGTGATTTGGAATACATTCGAAGGACTTTTTTCATTTTTCAATTTATCTGCAGTGCTGATATGACCAGGTTTTTCTATTTATCTTCCTTTTCCATCTCTCCATAAATGCACAGATGTGCTTGGGTGTTTGAAATTGCTGTTTCCTGGTTCAGAGCTTTCTTTTTATTGAGAAGCATACAAAGGAAAAAAAGCAAAGACACAAGAGGAATTCTGCCTGGCTGGAATGGTGTTTCTGAAGTCTTACTGGCTTTATACGCTATAATAACATTTCCAGAAGTCTATGAAAAAAATTTGATGTCTTGTTGTTATATTTTTAAATAAAATTTCTGGAGACTTATGAAACAAATTCAGTCAATTTTAAATTTCCATTTACTTAGCAGCTCAATGTTATTTTTAAGAATATATTAAATTTCCAAAAACTTCTACTACCCAGAAAGATGTATTTTGCAATTATTGAGATTTTTTTTGGCAAGATGGAAATACAAGAGAACTAAAGTAGAGAAAAAATCCCAGGGCAATGAGTAGAGGTATGCAGAGAAGAAGAAAATATACTCTGTGTACTGGAAAACTATAGAAACAGAGGCACATGGCAAAGAAGGACTAGCCAAATCAGTCAGTCTGTTTTTGGGGTAATTCTAGAAAGACTTCTCTTCAGTATAACTGTGCAAGAGAACAATCCTTCTATTGCAACAACTCACTCCAAACTGGCTGAACTCTGCCCTAGTCCCACAAATGCAATTTTAAGTTTCCAGGCAGTGAAAATCAAGTTCTAACTCGAAGGGTTGATGTAACATCCTTCCAGTCTCCTTCAGGCTCTGGAAACTGCAGTCAGACATAAAAAATGTACTCCTTTATGTCTGCATATAAATGACTTAAGGTGTGACCAGAGATTTTAAAGTATAATATTTTCTATTCATTCTATAGCCTTTAAGGCTACAGAACCATAGGGGATGTGGTCAGAATAAAAGGTAGGCTGGGGAGAAAAGTTCTATTGTTTTATTTTAAAAAGAGGGGGAGGATTTTTCTCTCCTTTTCTTTCCAGATTAGATTATATGTGAGTAAGGTATGTGGAAAACATTTTGTGGCCTCTTTTTTTTCAGGGGAGTACAGGGCTATCCACCCTCTCCCCATACTCCTCCCACCAAAAAAGAAAAGAAAATCTATTCTCACAAAATCCCTGATGCATATTTTTCCTTATGGTGCATTGTTAGTTTGAAATTATATAAAATACCTGAAATCTATGAGCACATTTTATCAGGCATACTGTAACAGTTTCAAGGCTGAATGCTTGACTACTCTCCCTTAATGGCTAACCATTCTGACCATCACATCATCCTCATATTCATAATCATTTTTGGGATCTCAATCTTAGCAAATACATTCTCATAATCTAACATTTAGGCTTCTTGCAATTCTACCCAAACCTATATTTCCAGATTCAGAATTGAAGTTTTCTTTAATCCCAGGCCTTCCTAGTCTAATGGAATGTCATACCACTACTTCTGTCCTCACCAGTTAGATGGCCCTCATTATGGCAGACCCAGAGCTCTGTTTCCTTCTAGTCCTTTGTGCTAGGGGGACCTTATCAAGTCTTCTCATAGTCCATTATTTATAAGACAGTGATGCTACTTTCTGCTTTCTACCTTTAATTATCTTGATTGATTTATGCATTATCTCCCATTTTTTATGTCCTCTGATTTGCAGCATGGTGCTTCCTTAGTTGGGAATATCATCCTCTTTGACAGCACATCATTGGGAGGGAGGGAATCTCACAAAAGCGATAGAAGCTTAGCCAACGAGACAAATTAACTCTGCAGATTAGAGGTTGCGTGGGTATATTAGGTTGCCTTGGGACAAAGAACAGCATGCTCCATGAGCTCAGCAAATCCCAGTTACTCAGTCACAGGATTTAGTCTGAGCTGTTTGCTTATAGAATCCTTGCTCTTGCCTCTAAAACTAGAGTTTTGCCCCCAGATATTGTCATTCTAATCATCCACAAAAAAAGGAAGCATAATGTCCCGTAGCAAGATTCCCCAAGTGATCACCTTGCTGCCCAAACTCTTATCTTCTTCCTGGATCCAGATTATTTGCCATCCATTCTATTACTCTTCCCTGAATCTCTCCTCCCACAGTCTAATGGCCTCTGGCTTACCAAATGGTTCATTTTCTCTCCTTATTTTTTCTGTCTCACAGCAATATTTGATAAGGCTGCTTTTCTCCTTTTGAAACACTTTTTTTCTTGAGGCTTTTGAGTCAAAGGCCTGGTTATTTTCTTGCTTTCTCACATGCCTAAACTTTCTAGTCTCCTTTGCTGACTCCTTTATACAATTACAAATGCTGGCTTGTTCTAAGAGCCCATCCTCCACTCTCCTCTCTTCTCATCCTTTACTTTCTTCTGTTAATATAATTATCTTCAGTCGAGCCTCTCTGCTGAGCTCCAGACTCACGCCACTCCTTACTTAATGTCTCTACTTGGATGTCTAATGGACCTTTCAATAACAAGGTGAAAATAGAACCAATGACTTCCTCCTAGGTTCTAGAATTTCTAGATACACAATTCTGTCCCATCTTTATAATTAAGCACCAAAACTAAGTCTCAGTCTTATTTTTCCCTCTTTTATCATAATCCAATCTAAAAGCCAGTCCTATGGAATGGCAGCTTCAAAATATAATTTGATTCCAAAAGCTTCTATTTCCAAAGCTACCACACTGAGCCAAGCCACCATCATCTTTCTCCTGCATTACTAAGTTAGCCTCTTGACTGGTTTACCTGCATCCACATAGTGACCCATATTCTAGTCTCTGCTCAGCATCTTGGATGGTAATTTATTTATTTACTTTTACATTTTAAAAGGATGGGTTTATTAGGAAAAATAGACAGAAAAAGAAAAAGAGAGGCACCTGCAAAGTCACAGGTGGGCAGGAGAGCTGCCACTCCTGTTTTGCAAAGGGATAAGGTTTGTGATAAGAAACACTTGCATAGTCACAGGAGGCCAGGAGAACTGCCTAAAATGGTAATTTTAAAGCTGGAAATATATCTTATCATTCCATGATTAAAACCCTGCAGACACTTAAAATATCATCTCCTTATGATGACCTACAAGGTTCTGTCAATCAGCATTCAGCTACCTTCATTATTTCCCTCATTGATTATATTTCCTCTACGTTGGCCTCCTTAAGCTCATGCCTGTTCCTGAGGTTTGTACTTGTTGCTCTTTCCTTGGATCACCCTTCCTCAGGTTTTCAAATGACTGTTTTTCCCCCTCACCTCGCAGATTTTAGTCCAAGTGTTTCCTCTCTGACACTTTCCCTGATCAGGTCAGTCATTATTACATTATTTTCATCTGAGTTCAGGCTGGTATCTGAAAAGACCTTATTATTTACATCCTGTGTTTTCCCCATCACAAGAGGAATTTCCTGAAAAGGGACTTTTTTTTTTTGTTTACCCGTGTACATCTAGTTCTTAGAATTCTGCCTGGAACATGGAAAGAATTCAATTAATATTTTTTGAGTTACTGACTTATATGAAGTTGTTAGATGTGGCCTGAAGGATTAATGGCTATTCATAAAACTTCTCTTGATCTCATAGTTAACATAGTTTAGCTGGAACTAGAAGCTGGAGTTATTTTGAGCTGAAGACCCACCTACAGAAGCCTCACAGAATCACAATGTGCAAATTGACAGTGATGGGATGAAGAATCATTGCAGGCAGCTTCTTGACTGGTTTCCTCTATTTGTATTATAAAAACATAGGAAAGGTATC